TATTGAAATTTCATCTGATTCTATACTTCTTTTTCTTTTTTTTTCTTTTTCATTGGCTATATGTTTAATATTAAACAAGTCAGATTTTATTGAGTTTATTTCAAAGAGTTGTTCAATTGAGGTTTTACTAATTAAAGGTGAATGCACTTGTGTTGCTGATTTTATGCCTTTAGATCTAGTGGCAAAGTTTGAAACCCATCTCTTTAAGAAGCTATAGGCTTTTTCAAATTTGTATAAGAATTTTAAGGACATGTATCTTGTCACCTCTGAACATATGAACAAATATCAACCTTATAAATTGATTGGTAACATGTTGTTATAAGTGTTGAGAATATTAATATTTGGTTAGATACTTTAGTATTATAATTTAAAAAATGATTAACACTAAGACTAGATTGTAATCCTGGTGCCCTTCTTAATAATAAGATTGCATCTTGTATATTTCTAGCTTCTTTTATTAACAGAGGTATTTCCTGTTCTTCTATTAATAGAGTTACTTCTTGTTCTTAAAATAGATTCAGTTTGAGAGCTCTACAGATTAATGAAGTATCAAATTGGAGTAGATAGATAAAGTTTCTTTGTTTGATTACTATTTTTAAAAAATCTATTATGTTTTCATAGTACTTCATTTTTTTGATCCCAGAATTGGGATCAAAAAAATGGAGCTACTACAGGCAATCTATTTTGCAAAAAAACTCACAGTATAAATTAGCTGCTTTGAGCTTATTACTATTTAAAAGTCTATTTTTGAGAGAATTTTCATATTTAGCATAAAACCTAAAGTGTCTGTTGTATTATTATTATTCTGGTTTATATATATAAATTTTGGCCATTCAAGATTATTGATCACTTCTTTAATTACTTCATAATTTGCTAGTTTAAGAGTAATTTGTCCATTTTTATTCTTTAATATTGCTTTTTTCTTTTTAGAAAATGCTTCGATCTTTTTCAAATTAGATCTGTATGCAACTGCACTTAGTGCTAAACTACAATTTACAATATTCAAATTAAATTCTTTCACCATACATTGAAATCTTGTAGACTCAAAATTGCATGATGATAAAATTTGTTTTGCAGCTTTAATCATTAATTCTAAAAATAAAAATTATATATTAATTAATTAATTTTTTTTTAATTTTTTATTTAATTTTTTATTTAATTTTTTATTTAATTTTTTTTCTTGATTTTTTTATTTTTTTTTAATTATTTATTATATACATACTACTATTTCTTAATGTTTTGCATTTATTTTTTTTTTTTTCTTTTTCTATGATGCTAGTTTCTTCATTCTCTATCCCATCAAATTCTACTCTATCTATCTGGTCTGTCTTTTCAATATCTTCTCTATACATTTTATTGACTTTCTCTTCAGCTTCATAATTTATCTTTTTTTTATATATCCTTTTTGTAGTCATTCTCTATCATATTAGCATTCTCTTCTTTATTATTACTTTTTTTACTGTTTTCCTTCTCTGAATTTTGATTATTATTATTACTTAAATTATGCTCAATTTCATTTTTTTAACAACAAATGAATTAGTTATATTAGCAAATATGAATAGTATAGAATATTATATTAATTAATTTATACCTTTATTCAATAACACCTTTAGTTTATCAAATTTGACTTTATATTTGTCATTTTCTTGACTAGGCACTTCACTAACCTCAAGTATCATATCTAGTTTGTTAGCTGTCTTACTTTTAAGGTCCATCATATCTTTACTTAATTTACAATTTGAAAATTAAAAGATCTTTTGGTTTTATCTGAATACATAATTACAATCTTATCTCTTGTAAATCCAATTATCTGAATTTGTTTATCTGAATAATACAAGGACAATAATTATATATATCATATTATGTTACTATTATAGCATGCTAAAAAAATTTTTTAAAAAAATAATTAATTATAATAATTAAATTAAAACAAAACACTAAATAATTTAACAAAAACTGAATTCAGTTTTTGCTAAAAAAAAAAAAATACTTATAATTTTTTTGTTTACGATTTATAACAAAAGTAAGAAGAGTGTGAATTTATATATATATATAAAAAAGAATTAATAAGAATAAATATTAAAATAAGGTAAGATTTAAAGAAATTGACTAATAAAATTATATAACTATGTGTTATATTTATACATATTTTAAACTTAGACTTTATATTATATATACAATTCTTAATATCATAACTAGATTAATTATATAAAAAAGTTTAATTAAAAATTTTATGTAATTATATATTTGTAATTATATGTATCAGATATATTTGTATAATTATATTTGTGTAATTAAAGCTTTTTACAGATTACATATAAAAAAAAACAAATTTATTTTTTGTTAAAATTAGTAAATTACTGATTATTTAATTTTTTTTGAATTTTAACAAAAAATGAATTTATTTTTTGTTAAATTCAAAAAATTAAATTAATACTTTTAATCAAAATGCCAAAAAATGAATTTGTTTTTTGTTAAATTAATTAAAATAAAAAATATAAGACAAGTAGGCATATAAAGGGTTTAACTTAAATACAATATATATTGGTCAATTAGACTATTCATATTTGGTTAACATAATTCTCTCTCTCATTAGACTGACCTTCAAAAATTGAACAATCAATAAAATACTAAATAATTTTTTTAATAGCATAATTTGTATTGACTAATAAAATTGACTCATACTATTTACACAATAAAGTATTCACTTAGAAGTCTTTATATGTTATACAAGTAGTATAATTGAGTAAAAAGTTAAATAGAAATGATAATAAATAGATATAAAGACAAAATTAATAAAAATTAGTTAGATTTGAATTTAGAAATAAGAATAGAAATAACTTACATGTATAAAATAAAGTGATATACAGTTACAGTCTAAGTTTGTGTAAAATATTAAATGATATACCAAATGGCATTCTAAAAGTATATGCTTTTTTAATTATACATATTTAGACAATATGCTGTCACAAATTCTGCAAATTAATTTATAAAAAGTTTTCTAATAATTATGTATAATTTTGCAAAATACAGAATTTTTTTAATTATGCTGTAAATATTTTAACAAATTCCACATATATTTGAACTTATATCCTGCTAATAAATTTCTTTTTGCACTAAATTCAATGTAAAATTTATTGAATATATGAATTTATACTTACTTCCTGATATTTAATGTAATTGATTATTATAAATTCTAATTTAACAATAAAGTACAAATATGTAATCAACTTTATACTAATTTGTATAAAGTAAAATATTTAGCATTATTCAGTATTAAATTTTAATTGGCAATAAATACTATACTTACTTGCTAGTAGATTTTATATAGTGATAAACAGTAATAATTAAAAAAAAACAAAAGTTTATCTAAATTTAACAGAAAATGAACTTATTTTTTATTAAATTTAAAGTAAAAATAAAAAGAAGTTCTATTTTAACCTGAGTTAAAATAATCTGACCCAAAAATTAACCAATCAAAATAAAAAATACTATAAATAATGACTATTCACAGTATCTTCTATTTTGATTAGTTAATTTTTAAGGTCTGGTTATTTTAATCTGGGTCAAAAAAGAATAGAATAAATAGTACTATAATGATTTTTTTTTTAACATAACATAAATTAAATTTGTTTTTTGTTAATTATATATTTATTTATTTAAATAAATGTATATATTAGAATATATTAATATATTACTAGTTTTAAACTAGTTCTAAACTTTAATTTTAGTTTATTCAAGTTGATGTAGAGTCAACAGATTGAAAAAATTGGCTAAGCAGAGATATCTCAGAACCAAACCAATTGAATCCTGAGCAGTAGCACCAACATTGGCTGAGCAAGTAGATGGCTTAATCAGGTAAAAATATATAAAATCAAATAACTATAATGAATTTAATTAACTGCTTAATTTAGAGTTCAATGCAATTACTAATAATAGATCATTGGCAGAGAAATATAAGAATAAGCATAATACAGGCAACAGGCTCCTATTGCTGCAAGAAGTAAGAATTGCATTCAAACTCTCCTACCCACTTAAAGTCCATGCAGAATTCTGCTATTTTGTAGTAACTTAAGACTTTATATTAAAAGCCAGCCTGCTTTATGCAGTATAAGAGACCACTGGCTGGTACTATGCATCATGAATTCAACTAATGACAGTAATACTCAGCACATTATAGTTGTTGTTCTTAGGAGCATATTTGTCTCAGCTTATGCATCAATCTCACTGATGTACTCAATAAAAATCATTCAATAAAATTAATATCTAGCACTATTGGCTAGATGCATTCAATGATAATATATCACATGCATGCAATGCTTTTCATGAATATATAATGATCATATCTTTTATGAAGATAGATTTTTAAGTTTATATTATTTATTTTATTAATTTTAAAATTAAGAATATAACTATATATAATATAATACATATTAAAAAACTAATGCTAACTGCTATAAAACTACTAATATCAAGTTTTGTAAATCTATCAAAAGTCTTATGCTATGTTCTGAATTTACCTATATTCATCTCAAACTTACTAATTCTTATGCTATGTTTGCCTTCATTGCATTATGCTCATCCTAATTATTTCAAATCACTAAATCCAACACTATTTTATTATAATAAAAATAGTGTTAGATTATAATTATAACATGTACTAGCAGTACTGTAAAATATTTTTTTTATATGTTGCATACAGAGTGAAGAATCAGTCATGTAACATTGACAGTTCCTCCTGTTTAATAGATTATTAATAATAATATTTAAAACATGCTTATGCTTTTTCTACTACAATATTTGTATTCTCTCTCTTTTTTTTTTTTTAGCAAAAACTGAATCTGTTTTTTGCTGAAAAATATACAATTAATTTTCAATATAATAGGTTATTATTTAATCAAAAATTAATAGATCATTATTTAATTAATATTATTATGATCATTATTTTAATTATATATATAAAATTAATATTTTGATTTCTTGTTATTCAAAATTGTTTTTCTACTTTTTTTTTAAAAAATAAAACTTAGAACTTTCATGATTTTTTTTAAAATAAATCTTAGACCTTTCTTGAATTCTAAAATTATGTTTTTTTTTTGTAATAGATTTAAGAAAAATACTTCAAATCAATCACATGATTTACATTTACATTCAAAGAAAACATATATTAGTGACTTTACTTTTTACAACTTAAATCACAATTTGAATAATATGAATCTTCAATCTAGTAAAGAACCTTGTAATAATTATCAACAACTTGATTATGAATATACCAATATTCAACAACTTGAGCTTACTAGAAACCAAACTTATACTAACAATGATAATCAACAATTCAGTAATAGTGATCAAAATTTTAGTTCTATGCTTAGCAATAATATGGAATATGATTAGGAATCTAATAACAACTCAGATTACAATGAACATAAAATGAAATATAATTGGAAGTTTGACAACAACTTAGATCTAGAAAAAGAATTAACAACCAATTTAGATGATTTGACCAGAACATTTGATGTTACAATATCTGATATAAGTTGAGATCAAGAAAGCCTATTTGGACTCTTTAAAATTTTTACAAATTTAGCAATATTTATATGGGCTACTAAATATATAATTTGTAGGTATTTTGTAATATTTATTATAAAATGCATCTGTGGCAGTTAATTTGCTAGTTTTTAAGATATTGAATACATTAAAAAACTTAATATTTTATTTCATTTTCTCTTTAGCAACTGCAGCCTACCGAGACTTAATACAAATCTTAATTAATTCTTAATTTGATCCAAAACATTTAACTACTAATTTACAAACTCTTAAAAAGCAATGTAAGCAATTACTGTTAATAAAAATTCAAAGCCATGTTATTCTAATAAATACTAAGAATACACTATCAACCACAAAAGATTCTGCTTGAGTCAATTATTTCTCTTTAATTGAACTCTTCAACATATCTTAAAAAATCTTTTCCTTAGTTCACAATTGTATTTTGGACTAGATGTATTTTCAAAATTATGTGAAGAACTATGCAAAGGCAATTTTTAAGCCAAATCACCTTTTTTTGGTTAACCAAATTTAGTTACCACACAAGGTTTATGTTTATATTATATTTGTTATGCTATTTGCAGTTAAATCTTCAGTTAATATTACTATACATAGTCACAAATAATTCATTATACTATATAAATTATTTAATATATTTAGGTTCATTTAATTGTGGAAATTTCGTTCAATATTCAATATCAAATTCTATTAAAGTTGGTCGAATTAGATCTTTTGTTATTGATGATAAAAAAATAGTGTTATGAATTCAAAGATTATTCTCATATGAACAAATTTCACAATATCTACATTCAAAACAAAACTCATTATACTTATCAAAGAAAAGATATTTAGTAGAGAAATTAGAATCTTT